CTCTCTCTCTCTCTCTCTCTCTCTCTCTCTCTCTCTCTCTCTCTCTCGTGTGTGTGTGTGTGTGTGTGTGTTGTGTGTGTATGTGTGAGACAGGATATCCTATAGCAGACACACACTATCACCACCACCATGCCCAACTTATGTCTTCTTTTGGTGTTTGCTTATTTGTTTATTTTGTGCTTCCAAATCCACCGAGTCTGTTTTGTGCTGTGCATACACTCATGGGCTAGGATCAATCACTGGAATGTGGTGGACCCACCAGGGCCTGTACAAAAAAAAAAAAAAAACAAAACAAAACAAAAAACAAGACTCTGCCTCCCCAAGAAGACATCAATTGTCAATGTCACCTCAGATGGGAGAGGGGCTTTGTGAGTCCCTCCCTAATCCATGCTAGAATCTTGACTGACTGACTCTGTACAGGCCTGCTGCAGGCGACCACACTCACACCAGGAGTTCACGAAAGGGTCCTACCATTACCAGAAGACGTGTTTCACCCCGGTACTCTCTGACCCTTGGCTCTTACAGTCTTATACAATGGTCCATGATCCCTTGGGGGAAGCGGGTGTGGTAAAAATCTCCCATCTCTGGCTGAACACTCCCCAGATTCTTACACTCTGCAGTTTGACCGTTTGTGCTTACACCGGTTTTAACTTGGAAGCCCCGTCCCAGACTAGCTTCAGGTACGCCTTAAGGCAGGGCCTCCTAAACATTAGCGAGGAGTGAAATGTTTACACAACCGAATTGTATAGGTATGAAAAATAGACTTCAGGGCTAGGGAGATGACTCACTCCATAAAGTGCTTGCCTTGCAGGCATGAGGACTTGGGTCAAACCCAGAACTCACTTACAAAGCCGGAAACAATGAAGCAAGCCTATATCCCAGTTCTAAGGAGGCAGAGACTGGTAGATGCCTAGAGCTTGCTGGCCAGCCAGCCAGGCCTAATCAGTGACTTCTCGCTAACGAGAGACTCTGTCTCAAAATAAGGTGGACAACGGCTGAGGAAAAAGAAAACAAAGTTGTCCTCTGGTCTACACATGCATGCACACCTGCCACACATGTTCACTCGCACACGCATGAACATGCATGCATATGTGTATATACATATGTGTATATAATGAGTATATATAAATATATAATAAATAAAGTATACAAATTAGACATTCACTGATAATAAACGATAAATTTATTTTAAGACAAATTTTGGCTATTCTCTTTCTTCAGCTATATTTAGCTTAGCTCTAAATACTCAATGGCAGCCACGGGAAGGCTCTTACAGCCCTCTGTCTCCAATCTGCTTCATTCAACACAAGTCCCCGAGTTGCCTACTGAAACAGCACCGCCTTGCACCAAAGGCCGTCCAGTGCAGCAAGGATGTTAAGGCAGTTGATCC